ATGTAATAAATGCAAAAGAAGAGGGCCTAAAGATAGACAAAATAAGAAAAGCAAGAGACAGGAAAGTGATAGTGGGATGCTGCACCCAGGAAGAAATTAATCGAGTCAAAGAAAGATTAAGGAATACAAATAAACACCTCAATGTAGAAGACATAAAAAATAAAGATCCGCTAATAATATTAAAGGACGTATTGCAATATAATAGCGACGACGAAATAGTCAAAGCAATAAGAGCCCAAAATAAACAACTCTTCAGGGACATAAAAGAAAACGAAGACCGAATAGAAATAAGATATAAAAAGAAGACTAGAAACCCACATACGTCCCACATTGTAATGAGGGTCTCGCCGCTGCTGTGGAACCGCCTTACAGAGACTGGAGCGATCCACATAGATCTCCAACGAGTGAGGGTAGCGGATCAATCCCCACTCGTCCAGTGCTCAAAGTGCTTGGGATACGGACACACCAAGCGCATATGTAACGAGACGCAAAAAGTCTGCAGCCACTGCGGAGGCCCACACCTCAAAACCGAGTGCGCCGACTGGCTATCGGGAGAAGCACCATCATGCAAAAATTGCATAAAGGCAAAGATGGACAAGAACGACCACAATGCGTTCAGCACAGAATGCCCGGTGAGAAGGAGATGGGAGACCTTGGCAAGATCCACCGTAGCTTATTGCTGAGGTGGTCTCAAGGTCTGGCGGAGACTTCGATCAGGGCACCCACCGGTATCACGTTATTCAGGCAAACTTGCAGAGATGTGAGTTAGCCACTGCCGAATTGATCACCGAGGCAACCTGGAGAAAAACATCGTTCGCGTTGCTCCAGGAACCCTACATTGGTCATATTGGAGAAATGAAACACTACCCAGGGACACGAGTAATACAATGTCACAGAGAACCCAACACTGGAAGGGTAATCAAAGCTGCCATTGTATTGTTCGACGACACCATTGACATAACCCTGTGTCCCGACCTAACGACAGAAAATATTGCAGTCGCAAAGTTGAGAACGGGGACCTGGGAGATGGCAGTGGTGTCTGTCTACCTGGAGGGTGATAAGCCAATCGACCCATACCTGGACGTGATCGAAAAGGCAGTGGAAGCCTTAGGGACGGCAAACGTGATACTCGGTGGAGATGTGAACGCATGGAACACCTGGTGGGGTAGCCGGGAGACGGATACGAGAGGAACAGACTTGGCTGCCAAACTCGACGAATTAGAGCTTCACATACTTAACAGAGGAACGGATCCCACGTTTGATATTGTCCGAGGAGGGAGAAGATTCTCTAGTTGCGTTGACATCACTACCTGCTCGACGAACCTGTTAGGGAGGGTAGAAAACTGGAGGCTTTCTGAAGAAATAACTGTTTCGGAACACAGAGCAATCCTATTCGATATCAATCTTGAAAAATCAGTTGGAACAGACGTAAGCAGGACAACCAGGAAATATAACACAAAAAGAGCAAAATGGAGTGAGTTTCGTGAGAAACTCCTCCAGGTTTGGAATAGTAAAACATTAAACAAAATAGCAATAGATAAAATAGAATCAAAAGAACAACTTGAAACAAAAATAGAGGAAATAACACAAACACTAACGGAAGCATGTAATAAACACATACCTAAATTGAAAAACAAAAAGCAAATGGGATTGCCCTGGTGGACCGACGAGTTAACACAGTTCAAGAAGAAAGTCTCCAGGCTAAAACGTCGAATATCTTGTGCAGCACCAATTCGTCGGGAATGGGTTGTGGAACAATATCTCAGCGCAAAAGATGAGTACCAACGGGAAGTGAAAAGGGCCCAAACTTCTAGTTGGAAGGAGTTCTGCAGCAAACAGGAGCGGGAATCAATGTGGGACGGGATTTATAGAGTCATAGGCCGTACAACCAAGAGGCAAGAGGACATTCGCTTAATCGTAAATGGCATGACCATGGGAAATCAGGAGTCAGCGAAAGTGCTGGCAGATACATTCTATCCAGAAGATAACACCAGGGATGATAACATTGGACACAGACAAATGAGAGAAGCGGCGAATACAGTAAATGAAGGATCACATGATGATTCATGTGACCCACCCTTTACGACAGAGGAGTTGATGTGGTCTGTGTCTAGTTTTAACCCCAAAAAGGCACCTGGGAGGGATGGTCTCACGGCGGATATCTGCTTAAAATCTATTTCTCTGGACCCGGCAATGTTTTTGGCAATAGCCAATAAATGTCTTAATTTGGCACACTTTCCTAAGAAATGGAAAGAGGCGGTTGTAGTGGTGCTGCGAAAGCCTGGGAAAGAGAACTACACGCATCCCAAATCATATAGACTTATTGGACTGCTGCCTGTGCTCGGGAAAATCTTCGAAAAAATTTTAATACAACGAATAAAATGGCACATTGTACCCACACTTAGCCGGAGACAGTATGGATTTATGCCACAGCGTAGCACCGAAGACTCCCTCTATGACATGATACAGCTAGTAAAAACCAAGCTTGAAGACAAAAAGATAGTGTTATTAATATCCTTGGACATAGAGGGAGCCTTCGATAACGCATGGTGGCCTGCAATCAGATGCAGATTGGCAGAAACTGGTTGCCCAATTAACTTACGACGTCTCATTGACAGTTATTTCGAAGATAGAACCGTTTGCATTAGGTACGCAGGTGCAGAACACACGAAAGCCACTGCTAAGGGGTGTGTGCAGGGCTCAATAGGGGGTCCTATATTTTGGAACCTGTTGATCGACCCTCTTTTACATGAACTGAGCGAAAAAGGAGAATATTGCCAGGCTTTCGCGGACGACGTGGTCCTCATTTTCTCCGGGGACAGGGCATTTTAAGTGCAGGATCGGGCCAACGCTGTCCTCGCGCATGTTCAGACGTGGGGAGTCAAAAATAAGCTCAAATTTGCACCAAATAAGACCAAAGCGATGGTAATAACAAAAAAGATAAAATATGACTCACCACTTCTGAAGATGGGCGGGGAAAATATTACGTTGTCCACAGAAATAAAAATATTAGGACTAACCATAGACGCCAAATTGACCTTCAACACACACGTAAAAAATTTGTGCTGCAAGGTACAACGTTTGTATTGTCAATTAACAAGAGCTGCCAAGATTGGTTGGGGCCTGAACCCGGAGATCATTAGGACCATCTACATAGCGGTAACGGAGCCGATCATATTATACGCCGCTAGTGCATGGGCAGCGGCCACATACAAACAGAGTGTCAAAAAGCAGCTCGACATGGCACAACGCGGGTTTATTCAAAAGATCGTAAAATCATATAAAACCGTATCCCTCCACTCGGCCCTACTACTCGCTGGGTTGCTTCCTTTGGACCTCAGGGTTCGGGAAGCAGGCTTACTTTATGAAGTGAAGAAAGGTTACTCCCAGCGAGTAGTGGGAGACCGGGAAGTGGAACGGAAACTAGAATACGCGAAGACACCTCACCCCGCGAATCAGGTTGGGCTGCAGTTTGTATGCCTGGAGGATAGTGCACAAGTCGAAGAAAACAACAATATGGGTCTAAAAATCTACACAGACGGGAGTAGAATTGAGGGGAAAGTCAGCGCTGCGTTATCCATTTGGAATGACGCGGCGGAGATAAGTAGACAAAAATTCAAACTAGAAGACTTCTGCACTGTCTACCAGGCGGAGTTGCTGGCCATATATGAAGCAACAAATTATGCCCTAAAAAATCTGGCACCGAGCTGCAATATCTATAGCGACTCAAGATCGGCTCTCCAGACAGTTATCCAGATCGTTTCCCTCCATCCCCTAGCGGCAAAAATCAGAAGAAATATTTCGGAAATAAATAAAAAAGGAAAATTGTTAAAATTGTTTTGGATAAAGGCACACGCAGGGTTGGAGGGAAACGAGAGAGCAGATGAGTTAGCAAAGGAAGCCGCCCTAAAATTAAAACGAAAACCGGACTATGATAGGTGCCCGGTTTCATTCGTCAAGCGAGAAATCCGTCTTAATTCGCTTGATGAATGGAACCGACGTTACGTGGAAGGCGAAACCGCCTCCGTAACAAAAGTGTTTTTCCCAGACGCCTTAAGCGCCTATCCTATAATAAGGAAAATATACATGGACTCGCTAACGGTGCAAGTGATGACAGGACATGGCGGGTTCTCAGAATATCTGCATCGATTCAAATGTAAAGAGAGCCCGGCATGTGTCTGTGATCCGATGAAGCAAGAAAGTGTAATACATATTATTACAGAATGTCCTGTCTATAGCAAACACAGAAATGACATAGAAATAGAACTAGCAATAAAAATTAGTAAAGAAAATATATGTAAAATAATAAGAAATAAATATATTAGAAGTAGGTTCCTAAAGTACTGTAAAACTATAGCTAATAAGGTGATACAAAAGAATAAATAAGAGTATAAAAAGGGAAACTGTAAATTATATATAGGTATATAATGTAAACAGCCCCGTAAAAACAGTAAAAATAAAAATAGTTTAAGTTATAGTAACAAATATAAAAAGTAATATATAAATAACAATGTAAGATATATTAAAATAGAAATAAGAACCGCATCAGAAACTAACAGCTAAAGATAAATCTAAGAATAAAAGTAGATTAAGATATAGTAATAAAGATGAATGTAGTAATGTGAGACACGTGTAACCTAAATTTAAGAACTGTAATAGAATGTAAGTCAAAAAGAAGTAAAAAAGAAAAAAGCAAAAAGATAAAATAAAAAAATTAGAAAAGATATAAATAAAGAAATAAAAATAAAAAGATGGAAAAAAGTCCCTGATCTCCATGTTAGGGGGAACTAGAAAAAAAAAAAAAAACCTAACCTAACCTAACCACAATTTTGGAGTTTTGCAAAGAAATCAAGCTCTTAGGAGTTATCATTGACAGAAACCTGAAATTTATTGAACATGCAAAGTATATAACAAACAAAGCTCTCAATATATATAAAAAGCTTTGTGTATATGTAAGGCCAACATGGGGTATAAACTCAGAAAATATAAGAATAATATATATGCAGGTAATAGAACCTATAATCACTTACGCAGCAGGTATTTGGGGTGGTGCTACCAAATTCAAAATAGTAAAAGACAAACTAATATCACTGCAGCGTGGTTTCGCCATCAAGATAATAAGAGCTTTCAAAACAGTTTCCGCCTCTGCTGCAATCTCGTTAGCCCTACTCACTCCCCTTCACTTAAAAGTAATAGAAGTTGCCAACATAGAAACTTCTAAATTAACTGGAAAAACAGAGTTGTTACCCGATGATATTGTCATAGAGAAACCGTTGCCACAATCACAACTTCTTCATCCAGCTGACAGGAAAACCATTGAAATTAACATGGCAACCACACAGGAAGACATTGATAAAAATTACAATAATCATACAACGAAGATATTCACAGATGGGAGCAAGCATAATGATGGTAGCACAGGTGCAGCATTTGTAGTACAAATTAATGATAAAATAAAAATACGCAAGAAGTACAAACTACATCCAAGCTGTACTGTATTCCAAGCGGAGCTTTTGGCTATAGAAAGAGCATGTAAATGGGTTATTCAAACAGGCGTCAATAACCTCTCAATACTTACGGATTCACTTTCAGGCTTAAAGGAAATACAAAACAAAGACAGTACAAATGCATTTGTAGTGTCCATACACAAATGTATACATCAAATATGTAACGCAGGAACAGGAACAATTAACTTCATTTGGGTAAAAGCACACAAAGGTTTGACCGGTAATGAAGAAGCGGACTCAACAGCCAAACAAGCTGCTAGTTCGCACAGTAAATATGAATACGATAACACTCCTTTAAGCTACTTGAAACACAACCTCAAACAAATAACTTCAACTAATGCCGATTCTTACTACAAAGACTCTGTTCAAGGACAATATACAAAAAGTATATGTCCTGATCTTGAATCAATACAAAATTTGTGGGAAGCCTTTAAACCCTCTTTTGAATTTACGCAAATTTTGACCGGTCACGGATTCAATCTATCGTACCTGTATAGATTTAAAATTAAATCGACTAATAAATGCCCATGCAACGACAACTCTGAACAAACATTCAAGCACCTAATCGAAGAATGTCCTAGATACTCAAATACCAGGAATGATCACATAATTACCTGTAACAGCCTAAATATTAACGAAGCCTTTAACATAAAGAAGATAATAAGCAAGGAATCTTCAGTCACTTACATGTTACATCAACATATTAAAACTATTGTTAGAACACTTAAGGACTTCAACAGACACATAACATAGATGCAAAGAAAATAAGTAAAGTCTGATTTCTGTAACCATAATTCTGATTTATGTAACTCAAGGTATCCTACTTCTAAGTTCTCTTTCCTTTGTATATAAATGTACTAAACTATAAATTATAACCAATTGTAAATTATGATTGTTTAAAAATGTAACGTTTGTGTCGCCCGTATCCAATAGCGGGGGCAAATCAATTGTGCCAAGTAGGACAATTTCGTACAAATGAAATCCCAGTCATGGAGGCGTAACCAAGACTGGGAAAAAAAAAAAAACTAACCTAACCTAATCTAACCTAACCTAACCTAACCTAACCGATTAAAATATCATATAGCGCCCAGGCTCAGCACCCGCCAGTTTGGCTTTATGCCCCAGCGGAGCACCGAGGACGCCCTCTATACACTAGTTGAGCACATCAGATTAGGTTTAAAAAGCAAAAAGTTGATGACGCTTGTGTCACTGGATATAGAGGGCGCCTTCGACAACGCTTGGTGGCCACGCATCAAAGTCAGACTGGCAGAGGAACGAGTGCCGTTTAACATCAGGAGGCTCCTGGGCAGCTACCTGAGCGGCAGGCATGTTCTCGCACGGTACTGCGGGGAGGAGCACGTGAGGAAAACCGAGAAGGGTTGCGTGCAGGGGTCTATCGGTGGGCCGATTTTGTGGAACCTCTTGTTGGATCCACTGCTTCGCGAGCTGGAGGCTGGACATCACTATGTGCAGTCATTCGCTGACGATGTGGTGCTGGTCTTTGAAGGTGAGACGGCTCATGAGGTCGAAAGCCGTGCTAACGCCGCCCTCGAGCATGTGAGGGAGTGGGGAGTCCAGAACAAACTGAGGTTTGCGCCGCACAAGACCAGTGCCATGGTCATCACGCGCAAACTGAAGTATGACACCCCACGCCTCCACATGGGCGGGGTCGACATTGGCATGGTCGGAGAACTCAGGTTACTGGGAGTCGTCCTAGACCAGCGCCTGACCTTCAACACGCACGTCGCGAATGTGTGTAAGAAGGCCGTAGCCTTCTACGCCCAGCTTTCGAGAGCCGCGAAGGCGAGCTGGGGCCTCCACCCCGAAGTTATCCGCGCTATCTACAGAGCGGTGGTTGAGCCCGTGATACTGTATGCGGCTGCCGTTTGGGCGCCGGCTGTTGATAAGCTCGGTGTTCGAAAGCAGCTGAACGTGGTCCAGCGGTCCGGCTTTGCGCAGAAGCTGTGTAGGGCATACCGCACCACCTCCCTGAACTCAGCACTGTTGCTCGCTGGGATACTCCCCCTTGACCTGCGCGTCCGCGAAGCCGCGGCGCTGTATGGTGCGAGGAGGGGTATACCCCAGGACGCGATAGGAGATCAGGAGGTGGAACGGATGTCCTCGGCTCTGCGGTCTCCGCATCCCGCTCAGCATATCGACCTGGAGTTCAAGTGCCTGGCGGGCGAGGAACAACTCGCGGTAAATATTGACCACGAACTTAATATCTACACGGACGGCAGTAAGATTGAGGGCAAGGTGGGTGCGGCGTTATCCATATGGAGGGGCGCCGCCGAAACCAAAACCCTCAAGCTTACTTTGCCGTCCTTTTGCACCGTCTACCAGGCGGAACTCCTGGCGATATGCAGGGCGGCGCGGACGGCCGCAGATAACTCGGCCAGATCAATCGGAATTTATTCTGACTCTCTGTTGGCACTGCAGACAACTATAAATCCAGTTGCCCTCCACCCCCTGGCCGTCGAGGCGCGGGGCCACCTGCACAGGGCTTCGATACAGGACAAACTTGTCAATTTGTTCTGGATCAAAGCCCACGCGGGACTAGAGGGAAATGAGCGTGCCGACCATCTGGCCAAGGAAGCCGCGCTAAAGTCTAAACGCAGCTTTGACTACGACAGCTGCCCGGTTTCATTCATCAGGCGAAGCATTCGTATGCGATCGCTTGATGAATGGAACCAACGATACCGGGCTGGTGAAACAGCCGGTGTCACCCGGGTCTTTTTCCCGGACGCGATAGCCGCATACCGTGTCATCGGTAAAATAAAGGTGGACAGATTTGTCACTCAGGTATTGTCGGGGCACGGTGGATTCTCCGAGTACTTGCATCGTTTCAAGTGTAAGGAGAGTCCATCGTGCGTCTGCGATCCTGCATGTTCGGAGTCTGTTCTCCACGTCCTCCTGGACTGCCCGGCCCATAACCGTGAGAGGCAGGAACTGGAGTTCTTATTGGACTGCAAACTGGAAGTAAGTACGCTTCCGGATATTGTACTGGGTAAAAATAGAGACTTGTTCCTCAAATTTTGTATAAAACTGTGCATAGCTGTAAATAAAAGAAATAGAGTGTAAGTTACGCTAAGTAATTATATTGATATATAAATATATTAGCATAAATAAATTGTAATTAGGAACATAGTTTTTTTTTAGATGTAATTAAAGTTTTATTGTTCCCCCCTTCACTGTCCCCGCCCCCCTTTGTGTTTCAATTAGAATGTAAGTACACTATGGCCTTCAGCCCATGATTGAAAGATGATGTAAGCGAGATGAAAATGGGATGCTGAATGGCTGACAAGCAGAGTATAAGATATGATGTATGAATGAGTTTTGAAGATAAATAAACAAATAAGCTAAAAAAAGACAAATTGTAAAAACAGTCTCCCAAAGTCTCAGGGAGGTTTATTTTAAATGTTTAAAAAAAAAAAAAAAAAAACTCACCTAACCTAACCTAACCTAACCCTAACCTAACCTAACCTAACCTAACCTAACCTAACCTAACCTAACCGGGTGGTCGCGGAGAAACCGCTTGTAACCGGATTCTGGTGGCCATCTTGGATCGGCGACCAGAAATTTGGGCTGCTGTTTCTGCGGGACCCCTAGGGCTGGGACAGTCGTGTTTGGGTTTAAACGAAAGGGCTCGGGGAGATCTACAACTGCATTTACTTAGATTGACTCTAGGTAGAGTCAAAAAATTTTAAAATTTTATTTTGACCAAAATTGGCTCCTGAAGGCTCACAAGCCTTAGATTTATCCCCTTTTACCTTCGCAAGGTAAAAATAACTTGGTAGAGCAGGACTCTACTTCATTTTTATTTTATTTTCATAAGATAGGTAAAATTTTTTATTTTATTTTATGTTTGACAAAGACCCCCCTTTACAGGGTCTAGCAAATATTTTATAAAGGGACAATTTTCCCCGATACATTCGCAATAATTCACAATAAATTACACTACGCACCGCACCCATACACACTCACACAAGAAATATGTACCGCACACCCACGACCTCTGGCGCTGCCAAAAAGCCCACCACCCCCAGCCCTGCCACCACAACCTCAGCAGCACAGGACGCTGCTAGGACATTTATTAAAAGACCGGAAGCCAAAAGGAGATCACTCGACAACATGGAAATTTATAAAAAGCAGAAACAGAACTACGCTGCATTATCGAGTGATCAGCTCCTCCAGGAAATGATGAAAACCTTCGAGGACATACCCTCAAAAGTCCAGGAGTACCCTCAGATGAGGAAAGACATTAAACTATTCCTGGAGGTCCAATCAGACAAGGGCATAAGAGCAATCTTCGAGCTCAGCAGGCGCATAAAAAATCTGGAAACAGAGGTTCCAAAACTAGGGACACCAACGAAAACCTCTTTGTCCGAAGAGCAAGGTATAATCCTTAAGAAACTGGGAGAGGTGGAAGCGGCACTGACCGAGCGAATAGATGAGATGGAGCGAAGTCTGAAAACGGACATAAAAGGACTCAATAATGGCAACGATGACCGAGGCTCCGACATGATCGACAAGATCATCGACAGGATCGACGAGACCAGAGCTGCCGTAGATCAAACGGCCGAAAAGGCCGAGAGTCGTACGCAGGCTCTATTTAAAGATCTTGCCGGTGGTATTGCCGATGATGTCGTCGCAGCCAAAAAAGAACTCATGGAGGTTGCAAAAGGACTGGCATGCGGACTAAATATAGCCCCAGTCCCAAAGACATACGCCAGCGTCGTAGCAGCCAAACCAGCCCACCGCCCCGCACTTCACTCGATGGCGGTCACCTTTGAAAGTGGTCTGGAGACTGCTGACGAGGTGCTCGCCAGGGTGAAAAAAGCGGTTGTCGCTAGAGGCACTGGCCTTAAAATTAACAAGGTTCGTAAGGCCAAGAACCAAACAGTAATATTGGGTTGCGACACAGAGGAGGAGATGAAAAAAGTCCAAGAAATTATAGAGAGTCGCGGGGATGGACTGAAAGTAGCGCCTATGAAAAATAAAAATCCTCTCGTTGTCCTTAAAGATGTGTTTTTGGATAGCGAAGACGATGATATGATTAAGGCGCTCTACGCTCAAAATAAGGATATTTTTGTGGGCCTACCAGAAGAAGATAAGGAAATGGTGGTAAAATTTAAAAAACGCACACGAAATCTTAAGATATTGCACATAATCTTACAGGTGAAGCCTAACGTATGGCAGAGGATGACGGAAGCTGGAGCCCTCTATCTGGACCTTCAAAGGGTCAGAGTCGAGGACCAGTCTCCGCTCATCCAATGCACGAAGTGCCTCGCATTCGGCCCTGGTCGGAAATTTTGCACCGAGAGTGTGGACAAATGTAGTCACTGTGGAGGACCGCATCTGCGCGAGAAATGCGCAGACTTTACCGCAGGTAATGAACTGCAGTGCTGCAATTGCTCACACTCTGGGTTGCGGAAGACCGACCACAATGCGTTTAGTGCTGACTGCCCCGTACGCAAAAAAGTGGGACTACCTGGCTCGTGCAAACACAGCCTATGCCTGATCCATACGCAGGAAATCACATTACACGTACACATAACCACAAAGCACACGGAAACATAAATACGACACATACAAACACGAAATACATGACAAAACGAACACAACTGATATACAGAATGTATATTAAATATATACACGATTATATCAGCACAGGAACACTTACATACACCACAAACAGTAACACAAAACAAAAAGAAAAAACTACTTTTAGCTTAGCCCCTTCGTGCACCGTG